TGGATTCTTACTGCTGCAAACCTTCTATCGAGACGCATTCCCTCTTTATCTTGGAGACTGACAGGATGAGAGAAAACCCTGAATATTATTTAGCAAGATATGGCTGCAACCTCCCGCAGAGTTACAACAGAGTGCGATTCATCAGCAGCCCCAAAGAGCCTGCCTTTTCCAACCAGGGGCCCCTCGAGACCCTCTTCTGACAGCAGAGACCTGGCATCCCAATGACCCAGGGACATTCAGAATTTGGGGAAATGCAGCTCCTTGAATTAGGAGGGGGTGAGGTTGGAGAAAGGCAGGAATAAACAACAGAACGATGACCATAACAGATAAACCCAGGGCAAAAAGGTCAATCAGCAAAGATTCCTATGTCCTTCGCGACTTTCAAAACATGGGAATGAAGTATCTGCTGCTTTGGACGTGTTGCCTGCTCTAAAGTAGCCATCCTCTGCAAACCTATCAGCCCCACCAGGTAGCCCAGACCAGGACATCAACTCTGCAGTTTCATCCTCTTTTGTCTATGTAATGGTTGCTGCACGTCTCCATCAAGGTCATCTTCCTTCTTCTCTACACCAGTGTTTCTCAACCTTGACAACTTTAAGATGGGTGGACTTCAACTCCCAGAATTCCCCAGCCAGCCATCTTAATGAGATGAGATAAGAATTCTGGGAGTTGAAGTCCACCCATCTTAAAGTTGTCAAGGTTGAGAAACACTGCTCTACACCTACTATGGAAGATGCCCCAGAGGCATCCTTTATTTCAGAGAAACTTCAGTATTACTTAACTTCAGCTGGATTGCATAAGAACATCTGCTTTTGCTTAAACTTCTCCCCGACATTAAACCAGTGACCGAAACGACACTCTTCAAGCAACTCCGACCAAGGGCTATTTACAAAGCTAAACACAGCCAAGCAGAAAGTGCTTTGCATGTTTAACAGGTGAAAAAAGTAGATAGGAGAACCTGAACCTGAAAAGTGCACTAGGGCTATCAAGATACCAGCACAAGTCTTGGACAAATGCTTTCAATTGATAGGTGCAGCCTCAGAGGTGTCCACAGGGGAGATGGGGTCAAAAAAGTCAAGATGGTGGCAGCATCCATGCGATGGAAGACCTTGCAGCCACCATCTTGACCTTTTTTGACCCCTCCCCTCTGTGCCAGTAATTCAAACATGAAATGCAGCTTACATGGAGGAAGGGGAAAAAGATGATGGATAAAAGAGGGAAGAGATAACCAAATTACATACCTGAAAAAGGTCCAAAAGAGGCTTCCAGGATAGCATAAGAATGGCAGCCTTGTTTATGGTTTTGGGGATTTCTGAATAAAAAAGTGTGTTTTCCCTGTTTTCACCGGACATGGCTAATTAGTAAGGAAGAAAAAAAAAAACACTGAATTTTTCTCATTACTACCATTGTCCAAAGTCAGAATTGTCATATGGACTTAAAAACCAGGAAGTGCCCTAAGCCAGTTGATTTCTAAATGTATTTTATTTGCTAGCATTTATATCTCATCCCGATCCAGAAACCCCACGCCACGAATATCCAAATAAAAATTCATAAAATCACAAGAGTCATCGTAAGAGAAGCAGAACAACTCTAACATAAAAAAGAAGAAACAACACCAGATCTGAGAGATGGTCTACATTGTGGATCTGGATCTCCAAGCGTTCTCTGAAAAACCCGGCGGGCTTCTGGCTCGCTATGGAAAGAGATGGGTGCGGGGAGCATAGATTTCGGGGAGCAGCCGATTCCACAAGATGGACTGAAAAGGACTGTTTCTGGAGCCTTTAAACGTGAAACCTCTTTTCATTCCAGATTCTGTTCTGACTTTCTTTTAAATTGGTATTTAAATTTATTAACATTAAAAAAATCAACACCACCAGGTGGAGGATACAAAGCAGCAAAATAATTATTTAATTATAATAATGTCTAGGAACCTGGAGCTGGACTCGTGCCCCATCCACATGTTCCAGCTCCCTTCAATTAAACAGTGTTTCCAGGTGGGACCCAGGAAGTGGACCTTCTCTCTCATGACCCACTGGAACACCATCCCCCCCCCGCAAGTTCCATGTGGCCCCCACCCCAACCCTGTTTAAGTGAACCCTTAAAATCTGGTTCTACCCCCAAGCCAGGACGGTGATGGGCCCCTCGTGCCATTATTTGGTGGTTGGTCTTTTTTCCCAGATGTTCTTGTTGACAATGTTATTCTTTGTTTCCATCTTGGTTACTGTTTTGTTCTGTATGTCTTGTTTATTGTTGTGTAACCACCGATTGGGGTGGCTTATAAATTCCATGGCAAACGAATACATAAATAAATAATAGGAGGCAATCGTTATGCCTTCCCTGCACATCAATAATGTTTTAGCAGATGTAGTAAAATGTTCTCTCTTACTTTTAGGTCCTGCTATTCATCACCAAGTTCACCGTTGGGTTTGCAGCTCGCCTGATCCCAAGCCACCATGGGCTGAAAGGGGTCACTGCCTAACATCCTGCCCCTTGGAAACAGAACCAACTCACCCAGATAGTACACGCGGTCTGAATGAGGACATTCCGGATCATTCCTCTTCACAAATGTGAAGTCGTGGGGCGCCTTGGCCATCAGGCAGCTGTGGTACTTCCTCGTGTCCATCAGGAGCTTCTTCAGATGACTCCACGAGTATCTCTCCACGTAGTACGGCTCCAGCTTGGCCGTCTCCTCGAGCGCCGCCACATTTTCCTTGCACTCTGCCGTCTCGAAGACTTCCAGGGTGGGCTGCTCAGTCTTCATGGCTGATGCCATCACACATCTTGGACTCTGGAAAAGAAACGTCATCAAACTTCTCTGCTGCTAAAGAGGCCAACCTCTACCCTGTATCTTCCTTCAGGAACTGGCAACCACCTCCTTCCACTCGGACCCAGGTTCAGGAAACCCCCATGAGGGGGAGATGGGCGGAGATAAATCTAATAAATAAATAAATACAAAATAAACAAACCCAGACCGTCACTCAAAGCAGCTGGAGAACATCCTCAGGTGCATGGGTGATGGCAACTTTCATGCCAGGTGAGCTACAGGCCTGCCTGCACCTTGTATTTCCTTGGGGTGTTCCCAGAGAGGATGTCCAGTGGTGGACAGGAGATCTCACTGGGAATTCTGGCTACCACGGACCACCCTTTCCCTTGCTTCTGAACAGTCCTCTTGCTCCAAGCTAGCTCCCTTGGCCCCCCCTTTGTAATTTTTAAAAATTATTGTTATACATAACGACGTTCTTTAGCTGGCGTTGGCCTTCATTCGCCTCGAGTTCTTCCCAAGAACCTCAGATGTCGTAACGTGTCACCGTCGTCTATGGGCGAATCCAAGCAGTGCGGCCTTTTGTAATTGACAGATGGAAATTTTGTCAATGCACAGATTTCCTATATTATTATTATTATTATTATTATTATTATTATTATTATTATTAAACTGTACGCCACCCGACTCCCAACAACTCTGGGCACTTCACAACCATCAAACAAAGAAATTACAATTCATCCCGTAAAAGATAAAAGGTCAGCACGATGAAATGAGGGGTCTCACTCACAACGCTACAGGCCTGGGTGAAAAGCCAGGCTCTTCTAAACAAATTGCTATTTATCGCTATTTGCACCCACTGGCATGCTGCCTACGCGAAAGTCTTGGGGCAGATTGCAAGATATAACATCTCAAAACAGTCACTAAATGATTTTGGCCCTTTGTTTGTTCTTCGGGTCTGGTCACGTGTCACAGCACGTGGTTTAGTTTTGCGTGGTATGTTTTATCTCGGCATTACACAGCCAGAGTTGGTAAGGGTCGGGGTGGGATGTAAAGAATGGAAAATTGAAAAATAAATATATATTTTAAATATACAGTGGTACCTCTACTTACGAACCCCCCTACTTACGAAATTTTCGAGATACGACCAGCT